AACCGCACAAAATGCACATTGTTACGAGGTTGTCTGTGTGCATGTGTTTGTCTGATGCATCTTGTTTTCTTCTAGAACAGTTCCACGCATCATGTAGAATATGGGCAAGCAAACATTTTCGCTTAATACATAGTACCATAGCAGGTGGGCACGACGCAATGAGGTTGTCGCGCGGTAGATTGGTGGCCCGAGTCCATCAGCGGGACAACTAGTCTCTCCACGGCTTGTTCATTCGTTTCGATAGTATAAACTTCGCCCTTTTTTCCACCATAAACTTCGCCCTTTTTTCCATTTCCTACCTCTAACATTTCTCCAATCAATAACCCCACTCTCCCTCCGTAAAGTACCATGGAACTTAAATCCCACCCTCTGACTTCAGTCTAGTACAGTCTGTTTGTTCGTAACTTTGTAACTTTTGAAAGAAGGAGCCATCGAGAGCCTTACTAACGGATGGTTGTTTGTTGGTATATATAGCCACTCGGGTTACTTTTCAAGTGCCTCCGTCTCCTGCTGAGGAGGGAATACTTTCGTTGTGGACTGTAATTTCAAGCCGACTACTAGGCCAAAAGGTGGTCGGTCAGAGGACCACCCATACAGGCAAAATGAACTATTTGACAATTACTAAAACTCGGCTCGGCTCGTCCTCATAAATTGCACTCGCCCTTCGGCTCCTCGGTTCAGGTTTATCCATGTGCACGTTTCGCTTCTCAACTGTACCATCCGTGATAGCCACAACTCGTTGCAACTCATTCTCGTGTTCGTTTGCCTCTTTTCTCTACTTGTTCCCTTACTAAGCAACAGTGTCTGTTAATTCCTCACTTCCTACACACTGTATCACCATTTGTTTACTAGTTCCCGTTGTTTACGTGTTTGGTTTTTTACCGAACGACTGCATACACACACACACACCCAAGCATCATCACTGGAGAAGGAATTGTTGCTGAAGATCTTATCTTTAAGTATCTAGTAAAGGAGAGAAGGGACGTTGCGTAAGAAAACAACTGTGATAAACAATATATATATATCATATCGATTGTTTTGCAGATGAATGCGCTGAGGCATCACATTCTGTGCTTCCCAGTATTTTTCATCGCCAAAACGATCGAATCCACGCACACAACCCAAACCCAAACACACAAACGCACGCACACACACACACAATGCAATGTTACAGTGCTGCCGCTGAACTTTGACCCTCTGATTCCAGATTTAACCTGTCGCTCGACTCACTATTTCAACCCAAAGTGAATATATGTTAGTTCCTGAGAGGAATAGTCCCGTGAGACTCTGGGAAGAACCAAGAACGTTATGTCCTTTAGGGTGAACATCGTAAAACCTCTTACTGTGCTGATCTTCGGT